TCTTTCAAGACTTGAGGGAAAATTTCATCAGGCCCTGGGGATTTTGTCTTCTTTAATTTATTATCCTCTTAAGAACATCCTCTTTTCTGATAGTGATATTCTTTAATTTCTCTTCTTCCTTTCCCCTAAATATTAGTTCCACCTCTGAAATTTCCTTGTGAATTTCTTCTGTGAAAACTGATAAAAAGTAGCTGTTCAATGCTTTGCTTATTTCTTCACTGTCATCGATCACATCCCCCCCCCTGTCTTTAAAGGTACAACTTTGTCCTTGACCTTTGTTCTATATACCTGGAAAAATTCCTTGTGATTCGCCTTGGATGCTCTTGCTATCCTGATTTCGTAGTCTCTCTTTGCTTTCCTTACATTTTTCTTAACAAACCTAGATAGTTCATTATACCTATTTCTGAGCTGTTTTGTTATTCTGATCAGTGATATGTTTTAGTAACTGATATAATTAAAGATTTTGTTAAACAGTTTTCAATGTTAGAATATTGCAGTGTTTTAACTGAAGCATGTAAACAAAATGTGGATAAGTTAGTGAAATCGTATTGGAACATGGAGAAGAATCTCTCTCTCTCTCTCTCTCTCTCTCTCTCTCTCTCTCTCTCTCTCTCTCTCTCTCTCTCCGTGGGTATTAATGGTGAAGGACATGGTATTTTGTATCGTGAAAAAACCCACAGGTTGTAAGAGTATTCCAGTGATTTCTGGTAGTCATGAGATATTGTAATCTATTTGTGAAGCATATTTGTAAAGTAGAGAGATAGCATAGTGTTGGATGAAGGTATAAGACTGATATTAATGTAAACTTTGTGGAAGCTATCAGCATGTGTGAAACCATTATTGTTTAATATATTTTTATGTAAATGCGCTATTTCCCTATCTTGATTATATTTATGTTACAGCATAAGGGAGACTGTGACACGAGGAATCCGCAAAACTACAGGAAGATCTAAACAGATTTTTCGAATGGTCTGAAAAATGCATATGAAATTTAATGTGAACAAATGTAAAGTAGTTAGTCTCAGAGGGGGTGCTGGTGGTAGAGTGGTACCGCTTTTGCCTTCGCAAGCGAGATGTCACGGGTTCGATTCCCGGGCAGTTGGAAGTTGTTTGGACATACTTCCTAGCACCCATTAGTCCCTGTTCACCTAGCAGTAAAGTAGGTACCTGGTGTAAATCGAAAGTTGCGCATTCGTATTCAGGGACAAGTTGTTGGAGCTTCCAATAACTTGATGTCATAAACCATTGACTCTTCAGGCTTCTATGCCCTTGACTCTTCAGGCTTCTACACCCTTAACTCATGAGACATAAAGGCAAGCATGAACTTAGCATGCTTCCCTGTTGGGCACTGTAAACGCTTCTACGCTTCACCTTACACAAGGATGTAGGGGAGTGCCCAATAAAAAAAAAAAAAAAAGTTAGTCTCAGAGCTGTAAACAGATAAACCAGATATCAGTTGAACAGCGTTGATATAGAGAAATCCGACTGTGAGAAAGCTTTAGGGGTAATGATAAATGGGAATCTTAAACCAGGACAATAATGAGTATTTGCTTGAAACGAGACTTACAAAGAACTTGGGCTCATACAGAAGAGCTTTAGTTATAAGACTAGCGAGGTTATCCTAAAACTATATCTTGCGCTTGTGAGACCTCACTTGGATTACGCATTTCGGTTCTGGTCACCCTACTACAGAATGGATATAGAATCCCAAGAAAAAATTCAGAGGAGAATGGCAAGGGAGAATAACAAGGCTAATTCCGGGCATTAGGAACCTTGAGCATAAAGACAGCTTAAAGTATCTTAATTTGCACTCACTCGAGAGACGTCGGGTGAGGGGCGATATGATCGTGGTGTATAAATGGAAGTCAGGGTTAAACAACGGTGATATAACAAAGGTACTCCAACTATCCAACCAGTAGCGAACTCGTATCATTGGTTTTAAATTAGGCAAATTTTAATTTAGGTGTTAGGAAGGGAAACATTGGTTTGGAAATAGAGTAGTGAATGGGTGAAACAAGTTACCAAACATCATCATTAATTCATAAATGCTGAATAGCTTCAGATATATGTTGGGCGGATATATAAGTGATAAGGGTTGGGTGCAAACGGGACTGCCCAGTATGGGCCAATAGGCCCACTGTAGTTTCCTCCATTTTTATGTTCTTATGTTCCTAAATAATTTAAGAATATGTGGTATTCCCCGACCCTAGTTTGGTGGTTTAATATTTTAAAACTTTATCCTTATGAAATTGATATCCCTGTATAACCTCCTTTACTTATCTTGCTTTAGGCATGAAAATGTCGGTTCATGTGATTCCATGTGGAATCATGTCATATATGCACAACTGACGTGGTAGATAAGAGCAGCCGCAGAGTTTTGTCTCCAGCAACCATTCATATACTGTACAAAACACAAGCAGGACTGAAGTAGGCTAGAAAACCTAAGGTGCCATATAAGGTGGCAATATGAACTGGTGTGCACAGAAAAAACAGTAGCAAGGTGGAGGTGCAAGCACAGAATATTAAATACGCATATAAATAACATATGTGTGGTTCACAATTGTTTTTATAGCCTCCAACATTTCCCGAAGTCATTTACAATAATTTCTAAAAGTGGTGTTGGTTAGGTGAAACCCAGGAAAATGAGAATACATGCATGCATTAATGCGCATTGGCATATCATTCACATGTGTGTGGGTCACAGACGTAACGCCTAGTTCGTAGGTATTTATATTGAGATAAGATAAAAGGCACCGAGGATTAAGGTTATAATGGTTTGACGTTTATACCCAACAAAATATGTCCGTTTATCTGTGGTTTGGAAAGAATTTCTTACAATGAAGAGTAATATGATGCGTGTATTAAGGTGCGTCTATGCGTATAGATACCATTGTCATGAACAAGGTGACTGGCATTATTTTCCCGCTTATAGTAACAATGGTGATCGACATGTTGGTAGCAGTGTCATTAGTGGTGTGGACAAGACTTTTTATCTCACACGTTTGCCAACATTGATACAAACATTGATGCGGTCACGCCTCTGGGCATGTTGCTAGCAAAGCTAACGTGTCTGCAGCATTGTTCCTAACAATGTTTTCAGCACGTGTGGACGCACCTTAAGAATCTAACATCTATCTGTCCTCGAATTAAATAATAGGTCTGAAATGTCATGCTTTCGCCCCAGTTACTAGTAAACATTGTTATAATCCAGTGATACAAACAAAAGTAATATTATGTGCGAAACGTTCTCAAAACTCTCAATATAATTCGAATACATACAAACAAATCGCTTTATGCGACAGCTAGTAACTCTGTCATAAAGAAGTACTGTATCTGATAAGTAGAGCAAGTATACCAACACTTGAGCATCCTCGGTTTATCTAAACCTCCTATGTTCCAGATTGAAAATTCGGGAAACGGCGCGATATTTTATTTTTTTGGGTTGACTGTACTCGTGTTAACAGAAAAATGATTAAGAGGGGCGAGTATGCAACCATACAGGAACATTGAAATCACTACTTTAAAGAAATATGTTTGTTGGATGATTAATAATGGGAAGATTAAAATAATTCTTTCAGTGTATAAAAATTTTGCTCCACGATTATGACCTTAACTTTGTGTAAGATTTATTTCATTGCTGTAAAGATATTTCTTGTATTGTTATAACATTTATAACTTTTTGTAAGCCCCAGAAGGGAATGGCAAAAGTGAAGGTGATGTAATAGTTTTTATTGCCAATAAAAATATTTTAATTTCAATTTCAGTCTCTATGTTTCCTTACTTCATTTTCTTTTTTCCTCTCCATGTACAGGTGTACAGTAGAGTTGCTTTTACTTAGGTTAAACATGATCATTAAAATTGGTTGTTAAATGTTAATTCATTAAATTACCAACCACATACTTCCTTCTTATTTTCGCCACACATTACCATGATTATATTCTACTGGGAAGACCCAATTAATCAAAAATAATTTTCAACACAAATTTTTTTTTCATTTCATTAATTTACAAAGTAAATTAGAAGCAGTATGTTTTGTCGTCAAAACACATGGTAAGGTGGAAGCGGTATCTGGGAACTTTATGATTCAGTTTTGCCATATGTAGCAATAAAATTATACCCTATCCAGCTAAATTGGCCCAGTAAGCCACGCCCCTCGTCTAATGCTACAAATAGCTGATTGGTTCCCCTGAGCATTTACCTCACCCCGGACTGTATGTATATTATGTATGTATATTATGTATGTGCTCCATTTATATACATTATTTATTCAGCCTAGCTAGTAGCATGTGACAATGTATTTACCATGTCCCACACGCTTAATTAATGTGCCTGGCGACATATGGAAGCTGCTAATGTATCACTTGCCACATGTCGCCTGAAAGGCTAGTTGACCCCCCAGACAGAGTAAGGAGCGCCACCTCGCTTGTGTATCTCTGTTTATCCAGTAAATAGAACCTACGAAAACTCTACAGGTGTTTGTGTTCGCTCCTGTAGACAGAACTTGATACCCAGAACATATACACGGACTACGTGTGTAAAAGCGCGTATTTATATCACCCTTTCATGAAAAAATATTTTAAATTTTCTCACATCCTCTATGAAGTGCTAATGCCTTGAAATCATCTGCATTTTGATAGTTCAGATATTTAACACTATTTTAGAAAATAACAGGTCTTCTTACCAATTGTGAACACAATTAGTTTGAATTTTCTATGAACCAATCAGCTATTAGTATAGAAGAGGGGCGTGGCTTATGAGCCAGGTAAGCGTGTAAATACAATAATGGCATTCTAATAGAATACTGCTTAGGTCATTCAAAGGAAAATTTATGGTTATTGATGTTTAGATACACACTTAGTGTTGTATTCCAAGCATTTCATAAATAATGAATCTAAGACATCAAGAGACAGAAGGAAAGACAAAAAACGCAGACAATTTAACGGGTATTTCCCTCAAAAAAATATTCTGCATCTCAAGAAGTATACTGAATGCTGACTTACCTCCTTCAGTTCTAGTTTTGTGTTCAGGCCACTGGTTGCTGTTTCAATGATGCGGGGTATAGTAAACAAGCCAGATCCATAGCTGCAAGTATTGTACGCATTAAAATCAGTCTGGTTTATTAGCATTTCTACTACGGTACATGCAGAACAAGATGACCTATTTAATGTACAGCACATAATTATAAACCTTGCATGGATATACGTAATGTGTATGATGACCATGTAGATTATATTAGGCTTATTTATGCTTACAGTATTAGCAAAGAGGGCAGAATTTGACACTCTTCTTTACTCACTAGTCTATAATTTTCTGCCATTTATCCCTAAGGTAGTTCCAGGCCAGATAACGCCCGACATTATTTCTGGCCACAGATCTGAATGCCGTTCCTGCGTCCTGTTTCCGTATGCCGCTTCCAGCAGTGAAGGCCATGTCCATATACCTGTGGGAAAACTAGTTGAAATTCTGCAGCAGTATCATACAATATATTTTTTTAATTTGAAATAATTGAGTTATATTGAATACTTTCGTATATGAAACTATTACAATTGTGAAAATACAGTTGTTTGTAGAAAAAACATAATTGCACTAAGCTTTTATATGTCTACGATTATAACTGATATGATATTCTGAAGTATGTAATGATTCCATTATTGTTCATATGACGTAACTTTAATGGAACTAATTTGGGGTGAAACTTACCGAGATAATATCCAGATTTTCTTGCTACATCCAAGTGCAGCGAGCAAGGTTGCTTTTTCTGTGCCAACGTTGGACTTGAGGTATTGGTTCCATCCAAAGTTCCACTCTTCCACGCCACCAGTTGCAATAGCAGTACAATACACAGTGTTCTTCAGGTTGGGTGATATGTTGCTGAAGATGTGATTAAGGTCAATTAGTTACAGTAAGTTGCGTGAATATTGCCTTTATTATCACTGAATATTGATTATTATTTTTATATCTTATAAAGTCATATAAATTAGGAGGGGAAACTTAATTCAGGTAAAAAAATATGTAAGAGAGTTTACCTTTGATTAACTGGGTTCTGCATCCATTGTCGGAAAAGAGAGACCGCGTTATCAACACAGTCCTTATAGTTTAATTTACAGGCCCAAGAGACGGCTCTGACACGCTTGAACTGGTCCAGATGTGGGTCATTTACATTATCTTCAAAGCCCACAGACCGATACAGTGGAACCAGAAGTTCAATCATATAACTCTGCCCCCATGAGAAAGAATTGAAAAAAATATATTACATATGGGATAAATGGATGATGCACCCCAAACATCTTTGATATTTTTTTTTATTTTTTTTTGTAAAATATATCCATCTTAATTGAGTCATACAAGAATGTAGCTTAATATTCTTAGCCAATGTCTGCGAGTGGCACCTCAATACAGGTTTTGTGTGTAAAATATGACCGCTTACCTTCAGAGCTCCATAGGTTCCAGAAGAAGAAAACATATGTTTTACATATTCGAGGTTGGCTAAAGCCGATTTCCATGGGACATACGCCTCCTCTTTTCCTAAGTAGGCATACACGCTCAGTGCAATGTTATACGACAATTGACCTGGGGGAAAGCATCTAGCATAATGACAAATAATAAACTGAAGTTGTAAATATGAGTGATACAATATAACACCAAACTTTTACGTAAAACAAAATAAATAGATAAATATATAAGTAATTAATAATGCAGTAATGAAGAACAATCTTGACTTGTAAAAAAAAAAAAAAAAAAACACAAACACAGTGATAAAACAAAGTATATCACCACATTTTTTTTTTAATCGATCTTTTTTTTATGATTTGAATTCATTATAGACCCACCCATTATAGTCCCAGGTTGCTGATCTGACTTTCTGCCTCATTTACACGCAATTGCAGGGTCTCAATTGTTTCTCTTACTTTGACAACACATCATACATATATCGCTTCTTACAATTGATCTTTTGTAAATTTTGTATTTCTTTATTATTATTACTAGCGGAATCGCCGTCCTCCGGGCGGCTCTTTCACTAGACCACGGTAGGACGCCACCCTCCGGGAGGCTCCACATTGTCCCACTGTAGTGCATTAAGGTAGACCACATTTTTGGTTTTGCCATTAGCAGCAAGTATGTACAGATTTTTGCCAGTTCCCACTCTGGAGCATCCAACATAGAACTGTCCATGAGAGAAGCAAGGAAATCACCAGGTTTAGGCCAACCATCTTTAGGGACTGTCCCTGGCTTTTGTAGATGGTCATGGCAAAGCTCACTTTAACCGGGAACTGAAGTCGCTTGAACTCAAATTGCAGGTCAGTGGTGATGAGAGGTATCCTTGGTATAAAAACGTCCTCTCCTTTAGCTTTCCCTGTCAGTATTGTAGCTTCCAGTACATGTGGCATCATGTTCTTCACCACCAGTCTTGTGCCATTGCAGAGGATTGGTGGTTCAAGATTTCTTAAGGGCATTATAGGAGTTCCAATCTTGAGAGTGAGGTGGTGAGGAGGCATTCCAGCGGGCTCCAAAGAATTAAGGAATTCTGCAGGCTACTGGACTGCTTGGTCCTGGTCGATTACTGTATCAACAGATTTGAATGAGATCTCACTGCCTGGAAGCTGTCTGAGTAGAGTCATGTTGATTTCAGCCACTGTTTCATTCTTTGGTGCCAGAATTGCGCGTTCACGCAGCCACTTGTGATCCTTGTAGTGGTGGATAATGTTTGGGTAGACCATGTTAGTGAGCTCAGTTGAGGACTTTACAACATTTTCACATCCTTGAGGAATGATTATTTGTCCTTCTGAATCAACAGGGAAAGTTCCATTTCCAATCTGTAGTAGAAGGTTTGCAAACCGTCCAGCATCCTGATCTCCTTGTAGATGTACTCTCATGTTTGTGATTAGGGTGAGTGTCTCAACACTTCTCCAAATTTATGATGCCTTGAGGCACGCATTCAGTTCATCAGCTGGAGTGCTTCAAGGAATGACAGGTAGGGTCTGGCGAAAGTCTCCAGCAATGACCATTGTAATGCCACCCATGAGTTGGTCATTTTCTCGTATGTCTTGCAAGCTCCTGTCCAATGCTTCAAACGCTAACTTGTGAGACATAGTGTATTCATCCCAGACTATGAGGCTGCATTTTTCTAAGAGTTTTGCCTTTGCCGATCCTTTTTTCATGTTGCACACTGGATCTCATTGTGAGCGAGGTTGAGAGGCAGTTTAAAAGTTGAGTGTGCAGTACGTCCTCCTTCTAGTAGTGTTGCAGCAATGCCTGAGGATGCCACAGCAAAAGCAATTTTCCTCTGATGACGTACTTTGGCCAACAGAAGGTTGATCAGGAATGTTTTTCCTGTCCCGTCAGGTGCATCGAGAAAGATAATACCTCCCTGCTCCGCTTGTATCGCTTGCAAGATCTGTTCATAAGCATTTGCTTGATCAGGCGCCAGGTGAGCAACTTCCTGTTTGCAAATACTGTTCAGTCCCCAAAACTTCTTCTTCCATCAATAGTTCATTAACGGTGTATGTAAGTTCCACTACAACGGTACAGCAAAGTATATTTTTTTAGCATTAAATTGTTATTATTTTATTGTCTAATCATCACTACATATAACAACATCCATCATCACTACATATAACATCATCCATCATCACTACATATAACACCATCCATCATCACTACATATAACACCACCCATCATCACTACATATAACACTATCCATCATCACTACATATAACACCATCCATCATCACTACAGATCGGTAAAGTAGTTTCAGAGATTCTAGTGCGGACACAACACAAACAAACACACAGACATACTTCTTTGTTTTACTTATATATATATATATATATATATATATATATATATATATATATATATATATATATATATATATATATATATATATATATATATATATATAATTGAAAGAAAACACAAGTTCCCAAGCGCTTTCGTGTAATTCACATCTTCAGGGTGAGTACAGTCTCACCTACAGTGATTTGCATATATATATATATATATATATATATATATATATATATATATATATATATATATATATATATATATATATATATATATATATATTATATTATTATTACATTTTCGCCCCAGGCCCCGATGTGGGTTACTGACCAGTGCCGGGTTGGCTAATCCCTGTAAAAAAAAAAAAAAACTAAGTTGGTGAAAGGTTTCAAAAGCCTTGCGGTGCCTCCTGTATGTGACCCATGTCTCGCTGCCATATAGCAGGGTGGGGAGGACTACTGCTCGGTATACGTGTAACTTTGTAGATAATTTCAGATCCCTACAGCTGAAGACACGGTTTCGAAGTCTGCCAAAGGCTTGAGATGCACATCTGATCCGCTGCTGAATCTCTTCATCTATATCCACTGTGGTGGACAGGTGGGAGCCGAAATACCGAAAGTGGGTAAAATTTGAGAGGGTAGTACCATTAAGCTGGATGGATGGTGAAGGTGTGTCTGAACCAGGGGCAGGTTGAAGAGAATCTGAGTCTTACATACATTCATCTCAAGGCCGAAGTGTGCCTACACAACTGCATACTGTAGGTGTTCAGGATCTCCTGTAGTATGCGTTCAGTGTGAGCAACAAGGGTGTGGTCATCTGCATACTGAAGTTTATTAATGAAAGCTGCCAATACCTTTGTTCTTGCCTGGAGTTGTCTTATGTTGGAAAAACCCTTCATCCGGTACTGGATGTCCACCCCGCCGCCTAAATTGTCACTTGCACGAGTAAGGAAGGCAGCCAGGAAAATGGAAAAGAGAGTTGGTGCCAGTACACACCCTTGTTTAACTCCCGTTTGGATGGGGAAGAACTGAGACTGGGTACCATTGTGCAGGACACTGCCGTTCATGCCATCGTGGAGTTGCCTCACCATGGCGATTAATTTTTTGGGGCAGCCAAAATGGCTGAGTGTTCACCAAACGGCTTCCCTGTTTACCGAGTCGAAGGCCTTGGTTAGGTCAATGAAAGCCATGTACAAGTCAAGAGGCTGTTCACTGCACTTTTCTTGTATCTGGCGGGCAGCAAAGATCATGTCAGTGGTGCCACATGATGGTCTAAAGCCACATTGAGATTCTGGGAGGAAGTTTTTTGCCTAAGGAAGAAGTCTGTTTAGGAGGACTCGGGCAATAATCTTGCCAGCTACGGACAGCAGCGAGATCCCGCTGTGGTTTCCACAGTCTGACCGGTGTCCCTTATTCTTATAAATATTGATGATGGAGGCGTCTTTAAGAGCTTGGAGATTTCCTCCTTTTCCTATATATTCTCCAGGAGATAGTGGAGACGGCTGGTAAGCAGAGGTCCTCCTGCTTTATATGTCTTGGCTGGGATTCCATCAGGCCCTGAGGCTTTGTTATTTTTCATCTATTTGATGGCAGTAGCTACCTCAACCAGGGATGGAGGATGGCTGAAGTGGGTCAGCTCTGGATGCTGAGGGAACTGCTGGGTAGTCAGGATATCCACATCAGTGTTTCGGTTGAGCAATGAATGGTAGTGCTCTTTCCCGCGCTGAAGGAGGCATTCGTCATCTTTAATTAAGGAGTTACCGTCGGATGAGCTGAGGGGGCGGTGCCAAGAGTGATTGGCCCATAAAATGTTTTGGTGGAATTAAAAAGTGCGTGCATCTTGTACTGATCTGCAATTTTTTGTGTTTCACATGCTTTATTTTTAAACCAGTCGTTCTTTAGATTGCGAAGTTCCCACTGAGCCGCAGCTTTCTTCTTGAGGAAGTTATCAGCATTGGTTCAAGACCGAGGGTTCTTCTGCCAGTCAGTTAAAGCAGCACGTTTATCATCGACGAATACATTGATTGCTGGGTCATTTTCATCAAACCACATCCTAGTGTATTCTTTCGATCTGGCCGAGTGTCTCTCTGCAGGTTTTTGTCATGACAGTGTTGAGAATATCCCATTTGGCACTGGGATTTGGGTTGTTTGTTGTCGGGAAGTTTATCAGTCCACGTTCGAGCTGCTCTCTGAAAGCATGTGCTACCGCTGGATCCTCCAGACTCTTAGTGTTAAAACCTCTTCTGGAGGCTTGCTGCTTTCGCCGTTTTGGGGCGACGTGAAGTGAGAGCTAGGCTCTGACGAGCCGGATGATCAGTGTCGCAGTGGTTTGAGCCACACATGGCACGGGTGATGAGGCCATCTTGGCGATTTCTTTCTCTGACAATGATGTATCGATGAGATGTCAGTGTTTGGATCGTGTGTGTTGTCACGAACTCTTGAACTTGTCGGTCTGCCTAAAGAAGGTATTGTTGATAGTGATGTTGTGTGCAGCACACTTGCTGAGGAGTAGTCCGTTGGGATTACACTTGCCTAGTCCATATCTCCCTATGGTTCCCTGCCAAATGTCAGCATCTCTGCCAACTCTGGCATTGAAGTCACCAAGGAGCACAACCTTTTCTTCTCTGGGGATAGAGGTTAGCACTCTGTCGAGGTCGGCGTAAAAGGCCTCCTTGATGCCATCCTCTGCATCCAGTGTTGGGGAGTATGCACTGATGAAAAGGCATGATGCGAGTGATTCAGTGGGACTCGGAGCGTCATGAGGATGCGTTGGAGGATGGCAAAGCCAACTCCATAAATGCGGCTTCTCTCCGCAGCAGGCTTACCCTTCCAGAAGAAGGTATAACCAGACCCCTGTTCTGTAAGTTGACCTTCGTCTGGGAGCCCGGAGTTAATAATGGGTACTATGTCGATAGTATAGTTTTTTTTTGTTTGGATATGTGATTTTAATGGTGTTTTCGACCGCATAAGGATGACCTTACTGGGAGCGGTTGCCCAGTCAAGTTGTTTTTTTAGGCAGGGTATGATTAGGGCACCTTTTCTAGCCCCATCCCCATGTGGGATGAGTAGAGTGGCTCCTCGAAAGGGCTGTTCAGTCGCACAGACAGGACCGGATTGCACTGCTGCTTAGATCCCAGTGCATGAATGACCATCTTATCTGTGCCGCCCATGTTCAGAGTTGTGACTAGAGACTCCCGGCAGTCATCTCTGCCTGTTCCAGTTGCAGTGGACTGCCGAGAGACTAGTTTGTTGGGTTTCGCCTTAGTAGTCTGTCCATCATGCATTGCCGTTGTCCGCCGGTGTAATCGTTGGGTTCCCATGTTGGTCACCTCTTCCGCCTATACCGCCGTTGGGATCTTGTTGGAGCTTTGTAACCATGTCTGCCTGATGCGGGGGCTCCACAGCAGATTTTTCGTTCAGGGTTTACTCCCACAGCCTACAAGGTTAATCCGCAAGGCAGCGGGGCAATATTTGGTAAGCGCCAGAACGTGTCCACATGCCAGTGGGCCTATGCGCCTTCCCTCTGGGGCCCACTGCTACTTAGATTACACCTGCTGGTCTAGCCTGGGCCCACGAGGCACACAGTTACCATGTGTTGCCACGAGGAGGCACAGCAGGAGTCTTGATGGTGAAGAGGCTCTGTACTGGCAGGGGAAGACTTATGCAAGTTGCTTCCCTGTTCGCCACGATGGCTAGCCAGCGGCGGCAGCTGAAAGCGAGAGGGAACAAGCAGTGCTTAGACCTTAACACTAACATGATGCTGCCACACTAGACGCATTGCACTACCCTGTGCTCACTCACACACACACACACACACACACATTAATGCAAACAGGCTCAGATTTAGCAATCAGCAAAAGTTGACAATTGTGGTTCATAACAAAGGCTGAGACTGTGGTAAACACTTGTACGTTATCAATTACAGCAAAGTGTCCTCTTATTAATGGTTATTGAAACACCCATTCCTATGCACTGTTTCCATTTACTTGCAGGGTGTCCAGATTTTGCTCACTAAATAAAAAGCCTTGTAAAAATATTAGAAGAATAAGTTAGGTAATGTAAATGATAAAATTGGGGTCCGGACAAAACCTCCCTGGTCAAAACAACCCCCAGTTAAAGTGCAAAGTAGGAAAAACATAAACTTAGTTCAAGTGGAAAGTAGGACAGAAAAACCCTCAGTTAAAGTGCAAAATTGATGAGGTTAGGTTAGGTTAGGCTAGGTTAGGTTAGGTTAGGTTCATAAACTGTAAACTGTAAATAAAAAAAAGAATGTAAACGATTATAGAAATTCTTCTTATTATTTATTTAAGGAGGCTTTTTTCCTAGGGGCTTTTGTCCGGGGGCTTTCGTCCTAGGGGGATTTTGTCCGGGAGCTTTTGTCTTCAGGGCTTATGTCCGGGGGCTATTGTCCTAGGGGGCTTTTGTTCCACACTCTGTTCGAGTATGCATTACAGGGATGCTCATGCGTGTCAAACAGAAATGTTTTATAGAAACGGATGAGTTTTTTGAATATCTGGTTACTTTGCGATATTTGGTAACCACAGAGAGAGGCCTAATCACAAACGTATTCCAGAGATATGCTAACAGTTTATAAATTAATTCAATCAGTGTGTGTGTGTGTGTGTGTGTGTGTGTGTGTGTGTGTGTGTGTGTGAAAGCTGCGTTTATATAGTTGAGGCTTCCTTTACCTCAGTTCAAGTTTTAACTTCTTCCTTGTGATGAGAACGGTAGTAATTTGTATGGCTAAACCTAACTGGGGACTCATTGTGATATAGGAGTAATTAATCCTTATTATGCCATACCTATGACAGGTAAGATTTTCTCCATAGCGGCCACCTTTCCTAGACTCACCTTGAAGACTGTTGGGGTAAAGTTACCTTAGTTGGGTCTTGAGATAGAAAGAAAAAGTTAGACAAACACTGGTAAGAAACGTATAAATTAATCTGTACTTGAAACTTGATCGGTTTATCACTGAATGCTATTAACCTAATCGCTTAGGTCAGGACATGGAGATACGCCGGCAACTGGCAATACCATCAAATATTAAGTATAAAATATAACAGTGGCAGCCAAATATCTTGGTTCAGGAATCCTGAGCCATCGGTAGCGTCTAGCACAAGAAACTGGTGAGCCGGTTACAGTAACTGTTAAGCAAATACAAGTTGTTTACTGATCAGCTAAGTGGGAGATGGCAAGACATCTGACTGAATCGACACTACTGTGTTCTATAACTGCATAATGTATGAATCGTTCGCCTAAATGTCTTTATAATTCGGTCGTTCTACTTCTTTTGTTAATTCAATAATACTAAAACTAATCAAAATAATGAGATAATGAGACTACTAGCAAGACAAACCTACAAAATATAGATTGATAGGGAATGCCATGTAGGGTACGAGAAGTGCAGCAGTGGAATGTGAATGGTCCAATGAGTTTGCGACTGGAAGTTCAATGTATTAGGCGGAAGATAGCTAGATAAATTTAGACTGTCATAACAAATATTCCGAAGCAGAGGTTTTTCAGCCTGTTTCGATATCGTTTATTCAGAAGGTCAATATTACCAGATACACTTATTCTAATATGATGAATACATTCTTGTTTAATATATTTGGTTTTATGAACAAGCTGTGATATAGATGAACTTTGTATATAACGGTTTGTTGCATTGACTGAGCTAATTTTCATTGATAAGTATGTAGTTTCAGACAAAAATGCATTCATAACATCACTTAAATTTATAACAGTAACCCCATTGCCAAGAGGTGGCCAAAAAAATTGAGCTCCCCATTGTAGTCAAGAAGATTCAACAAATTTTACCTGCCCGTGCCAAGTCCATGGCATCGTCGATGATTTGTGCACGATTTATCACATGGATGGCCTTATGGTTGGTTTTCAGCTGTTGTATCAGCAAGTTCCAGTTGTCTTCATCGTAGTTAACTCTATAATAACCCGTCTCCTGAATATTGAAGATGACCCACTTGTCTTTCTTTGGCAATGATGAGATAATAGTTTTAGCATCAGTGTCCTTCATCCATACCATGGCTTGGGTACTATCAAAATCAGAGTTATCCTGAGTAGTGTATGTTAGCGGAACCCACCACTTGTACTTATGAGTATCGGTTGAGTTTTCATTCTTAACAAGTAAGAATCGTTCCTGGAAGAATAATTTTGTTAATAATTCGCTTCAATATGGCGATCTGTCTTGGTATTTGATTCGTCACATAACAAAAACAAAAATATAATTTTCTACCTGGCTGACAGATGCAGAGGTACCGGCTGCACTCCTCATGACATTGATGACAGGGTAGCCCATTTGGAGTGTCCAAGTGTCCATGACCTTCTTTACAGTTGTGTCTAGTGGCAGCGTGCCATCTTCATGAGCAGCGTCAGTAAGGAATCGCCAAAGGTCATCTTGCTCAGCATTTGCAAACTTCCTGATGGGGACTTTTGTATCACACACTGGGTATAATGCATCAATACTTAGTAATGTGAACTGAGAAATGAAAGGAATCAATGAGAGCCATCTTGTTAAAACGAGTTCTTTAAAGAGAAGTTTCTATATCTGAAACTGGGACTCGTGCAGAATTATGTAATTCCACTTGTTGGCCACACCCAGAATATACAGTATACATATATATATATATATATATATATATATATATATATATATATATATATATATATATATATATATATATATATATATATATATATATATATATATATATATATATATATATATATATATATATATATATATATATTTCATTAGCCCATAAAGCACTAAGACTTCTACATATAATCAACAACCTCACCCCGCCAGGACTCGAACTCACGATCTTATGTGTGTGACTGGGGAACTTTACCTCTAGACCACTTGGACACTAAAAGCAGACTTAGACTTTCTTATATTTTACACAAAGCCTGTTCATCAAGCTTATGGCGCTTTGAACCTCCAATAGGGAACTACCCGTGCATTGTAAGTAATCAGAGTAACGTTTTTACCAAATCCGGCTTCAAAACACGAGGTTCCATATATATTTCATTAGCCCATAAGGCACTCGGACTTCTACATATAATGAACAACCTCACCCTGCCAGAACTCGAACCCATGATCTTATGTGTGTGACCGGGAAACGTTACCTCTGACCACTAGGACACTAAAAGCAGTCCTAGAATTTGTTATATTTCACACAAAGCCTGTTCATCGAGCTTATGGCGTCGTGAACCTCAAATAGGGGACTACCCGTGCCTCGTAAGTGATCAGAGTAACGTTTTTACCAAATCCGGCTTCGAAACACGAGGTTCCATATATATTTCATTAGCCCATAAAGTGCTCAGACTTCTACATATAATCAACAACCTCACCCCGCCAGGACTCGAACCCACGATCTTATGTGGGTTCACTTAAGAGGCACGGATAGTCCCCTATTGGAGGTTCACGGCGCCATAAGCTCGATGATCAGGCTTTGTGTGAAATATAGCAAAGTCTAGGACTGCTTTTAGTATCCTAGTGGTCTAGAGGTAACCTTCCCCAGTCACACACATAAGATCGTGGGTTTGAGTCCTGGCGGAGTAAGGTTGTTGATTATATGTAGAAGTCTGAGCGCTTTGTGGGCTAATGAAATATACATGGAACATCGCGTTTCGAAGCCGAATTTGGTAAAAACATTACTATGATCACTTACGAGGCACGGGTAGTTCCCTATTGGAGGTTCACGGCGCCATAAGCTCGAGGAACAGGCTTTACATGAAATATAACAAAGTCTAGGACTGCTTTCAGTGTCCTAGTGGTCTAGAGGTAACGTTCCCGGTCACACATCATAAGATCGTGGGTTCATGTCCTGGCGGGGTGAGGTTGTTGTTGATTATATATATATATACATACATATATATATATATATATATATATATATATATATATATATATATATATATATATATATATATATATATATATATATATATATATATATATATATATATATACAAGTAAAGAAGAAAACACGAAGTTCTCAAGCGCTTTCGGTAATTCACATCTTCAGGGGTGGGTACAGACTAAGGAGGAGTACAAAACAAGGTGTATATATACAGAGGAGGGTGAGATCAGGTCCACAATGGTCAGGTATTAGGTAATGACCCTACTAATCTTTAAATAGTACCGCAACGGTCTGTAGTCAGGTCAGAAGGTAAGGTGACCCAACCTTCTCACCTGGTTGCAAATCTTCTTAATTACAAAATTGTCCAGTTTGTACATGCCATTACTCAAATTCATGTTGAATGCTTCGGTATGCTTAATGAAACTAGATTCTATGATGTTCCTACTGTCAATTGAATTACAAGGTAATATTGAGGAGGCATTATTCCAGTCAATGCAATGCTTGTTATCCCTCAAATGAATAAACAGAGCATTGGATTCCTGGCCTGTCCTAACACTATATTTATGTTGTTTAAGTCTAGTTACAAGATTACCTGTCTGGCCTAAGTAAAACATATTACATTCCTTGCAAGGAACTTTATAAATGCAACCAATTGTGTTGTTGGGGGAGTTCTTGATTAACATTTGTTTAACAGTGCATGAGTTTTTAAATGCCGTGAACGGACCTCTCTTCTGACCCCTCACTGCTAAAGCCTGCCAGCCTGTCTTTAACCGTTGACGATCCCGAACGTAAACGACCACCTCACCACCATTACATACACACACCGGGAAGCTCGTTCCAGACAACGCCCTTTCTGTGCCTCCCCACTGATCAGGGGTGACTCCTGATCAGAGGCGGCCCTGATTGGGAGATCTGTAACGGCTTTCTGCAGCGGACTTGGGCCTCGATCCCACTGGTGTCACTTGCACCATTGGCTGCTTTTCTTTGATATTCCTCCTTTTTCGCTCTGGCCTGGGGACCTGCACCCTAGAGGTGTATTCGTCCTTGGGTCCCCACTGTAACTGTTCACCTCCACTGTAGGAGATTGTGAACACGAAAGGGAATAGGAGCAGAACCCACCCCTCCGCCGAGCCTTCCTGGGAAACCGTGATCGTGTGGGTCCACCTAGGAAGGGGGTCGCAATCCTTAATCCTCCGCCCCTCCCCTGAATAGGTACACTTTAAGTTCACGCCTATAAGTGAGCAATCACCAACAATAGGGATATAGGTTCCCCTAACGGGGCTCCTGGGTGAGTGACAAAGGAACCACTCCACGACCACTCGACCAGCAAGTGGCGGTGGGGAGTGCTGTAATTCCTGTGTTTAGGTTGCTCGCCCGGAATAGGTAGGGTGCCTGTAACTTCCGTTAAACCCCAATAAGACTGATGCCACGGAGAACGACCAAAGCAAATGACTAGGACAACTGGAAACAGGATACGGGTACGCTCCCTCTTGGGGGGCGTATCCGAAAAACGCAAGGAGGAACTGGGCATACTACTATGTGCCCAGCTAAACATCAAATTCGCCGCCTTGATCGAAACAAAGGACTCCTTCATAGTCCTGTGCCTGGAAGAAAAGGATGTAGATAATATGCTCTCTGCTGACTCAACAAAGAAATTAAAAGAACGAGGATTTGAAACAGTAATACCACCACAACTACGTGCAAAAAAATCCGTAGTAATTCAAAGGGTAGACAAAAATATACTTAAAGAAACACCAAGCTACATTGCTAACAATATAGAAGAGAAGAACCCATGGGCCAGAGTTGAGGAGGCGGTGCTAATGCCTGGTGCTCCCACCATGATGAAGGTCAGGTTTGGAGAGATCTCCATGGCACAAAAAGCCCTAGAGAGTGGCCTCTGTATCTCTCACTACCATCTGTCAAAACAACAAATTGAGCAGGAGGAATTTTACGCAATAACACCGTGTTGGAACTGCTATAAATACAATCATCTAGCCATAAACTGTCCCCTAAAAGATAAGAAGTTCTGCTCCGAATGTGCAGCAGAGGGCCACACATTCAGAGAATGCAGCAATAAAGATAACCCCAAATGCCTGAACTGCAATGGGGACCACCGAACACTAGCAGCACGCTGTCCCATAAGGAAAGAAATAATCAGGAATCTGAGAGAAAAAGAAAAGACAAATAAGAAGATTGAAACAGACCCTAACAAGACATATGCAGCAATTGCAAAGCTGCAAGATACCACCTCCAAAGTCCTGAAGAAAGCCAAAGAAAATCCCCTCATGCAACCTACATACCTCAATCTGAGCGAAGGATTACCTTTCACAATTCTAACCAGTATTATTCATGCACACATCAACAACATTGCAAAACCAGGAACCTTTGGAAAAACGATCAGGGAAATGCTTGCTGCAAACAATCTGCCGGAGGTGAATTTTCCAGACGACGCCCCCTCAACAGAAATATTTAAAATTGTCACCGAGAGTAGCATGGGAATAACCAAACCACAGGAGCACATAACCAAACTAGGCACAGAAGAAAACGTCACCCAAGCAGTCACACCACACCGCAAATCATCAGATTCCACAACTCAGCAAACAGAGAAACCACAACCTGCAAAAGCTGACCCAACCAAAGTGAAATCAAGAAAAGAATCCCACTCTGGCCATCGTGCCCCCCCATCTTCACCAAGCGATGTGCAGCCAGCAGACCTAGGCAATGAGATCGGTATCCGCTTCTACTCAGTCAACACACCACCTACAATAACAAATGACAGACTTCTGCAGGAAATCAAGGAAGGCACAGTCAAATTCACCTACTAAGATGATAGGGTAGAAGAATCCTACATAGACCAGTTGATAAATGCAGGACTTATAAACACCAAATACAATAAAATTGAAAGAGTAGATGTAACTAAGTTTAAGAAAATTAGAACGGGATTGAAGGAGGAAAGGAGTAGACACTCGCCAGGAGATACACGAGCCAGCAAACACCCTACACCAAGTTCTCGGGATCCACGACTACTCAAAACAAATTATTAAAGATAATTCAGCACAACGTCCTTGCCTGGAATCTGATGAGGAAATCAGAACTTACCAACATATACAGCACAATAGACCCAGACATCATCCTTATCAACGCACATGGTCGGAAAAACAGTGACAAAATCAAGATCTTTAACTACCATGTACATTAGGATGTGTCATAGGAGGGAAGATCAGCTAAAACTAATGGCCCATCACTTTTTTGGCAGATTTTAGTGTATATAAACAGAAAATAATTTCAGTTTCAATATTTTGCAACCTTTTGCTAGGTAAATTTTAGCGTAAAATTTATCGAAAATCTAACGTACAGCTGCATTAGTGCATTACAATTAAATAGTGAACATTGCTTTCTGACTTCATTCTTTAACAACCCAACTAACAAATTTTTTTCTGTTTCAGATTCTGATGCATTTATAAGTTGATAAAATTTGCGATGGCTGCTTGTGTCAGGACGAGGAACCAAAAATCCAGCCATCTCAGTCACTATCTTGGGTCTGGGAGAGAGCT